TGTAATTGAAATCAAAAAAGTATAAAACGAATGAATGAAGAAATTTAAAGAAGAAAAAAAACCATCAGCAACATAACTATTAAAATTATTTAATGATCGTACTGAAAATTATTTAACGAAAAAAAAATTAATGTCATGAAATATGCATTATTATGCTACTATTGTTGTTGTTCAAATATATTTTCTTTTTATTTTATAATGAATTTTTTCTTGATGAATTCAAAATAATTAACACATTTGTTTTTGTCAATGATAATTTCTGCAAAAAAAAGTACCAAAATATGTTGACATGATATATATGGCAAAAGTGAAGTTTAAATAATTAATGTGATAAGAATAAAATGAATGTTTTTTTTGTGTTTAATTTGATGACTAAAAAATAACGTGATTAATCAATCAATTTTTAAGTTTCTATGACGAAATTCTGGGAAAAATTTTGAAGCAAAAAAAAAAAAAAAAAAAACTAAAAATATTCGTTCATCTTCGAATAAACCATGTACATTCCATTGGTTATCATATTTTTCAACCGTTCGATAATTATGGTCATTTTTTTATTTTGATTGAAAAATTATTGATTCATTGCAACCAAATGTATAATTGCCGGTAATATTGTTATTTGTAAAAATAAAAATAAAACATATAATAATTTTTCATTACGTTGATCGAATACAATATAATAGATAAACATTATATTCAATGGTATATTTGCAGGTAAACCAATTACGAATACATCGTTCCAAATATCCAAACCACTATACATTATACAATATGTCATATGTTGATGTTGTCGTTGAAATTGACGCCAAATTATTTGTCGTTTTACATATAAATTATTTGAAAAATTTTGTTGTTGCATTCTAAATTGACCAAATAATTGTACAAGTTTTTCTTTCAATAAATTCATTTGTGATGAATAAAATATTAAACTTATTGATGCAAAATTAAAATAAAGTATAGCATTTCTTATCATAATATAACTACAATAAAGATGATTAAAACAATCGATTAATGCAAATGGCCATAAATTCCACATATGAATTTGAATGAAATGATAATATTTCCAACTACCAAACAAATATGAAATTAATATGAATAATATCGATGCAAAAACATTTATAAAATGTAACAATATCATTGTTATTATTAAAATCATTCGTTGTTTCAAGCCAACATAACTAAATACTTTTAAACGTAATTTTTCAAATTTATAAATATCAATATTTAACATTAATCGTATGATTAATTTATCTAGTAATTTTTTCCGGTTTTTTATCAACATTTTTGCCAAATGATTATGTATCAATTGTGGTGATGATGATGAATCTGTTGTTGATTCAATAAAATCATTACTATTATTATTCAATGTTTTCATTACTGTTCGTATCATATTATTATTTTCTATATGAACAATTGAATTACGATAATAATCATAATTACGATTAGAAATATCATATAATAAACGCCATGTTAATGAATTACGATCGGTTAGAAAAATCATATATTCACTATGCAAGATAAAAATGAAAAATATTGAAAATATAATCGATGTTAGACGACAATCGGTAAGATTTAATGATGTTCCATTATTTAAATTTTTAAAATAATCAAATAATGGTGCAGCGGTTGTATCATATGGACAATATGATCGTAATACGGATTCATCCATAAAACTAAGAATAAAATAGAATAAAAAACGTCCAGTTTGAATAACGAGTATCATGAATTCAAATAGCCACCATTGACGATTATTTGGATTCAATAATTGTTCCAATTGATGATAATATTTGAAACGATCAAAAAACATGGTCAATATTCAAACGAGAAGACTAAGAAAATGAATAAAAACAAACGATTGATTAAGAAATGTCAAATCAAAAAAAAAAAATCTGCAATTCAAAAATGTGAATGAAAACAATTGAAAATAACTGAATGAATGAGAATATTTTACCGTTTTTATTCATTATTCATAATGAAAATGCAATCGGAAACAAAAACAATAAAAAAAAACAGATCAATATTATCATCATTTAAAATAAATATTAAAAAAGTAAATATCATTTATCATTCGAAATGATGTTTTTTAATTTGTTTTTTTTTTGATTCTTCACATGAAAAAGAAAGAAGGGAAAAAAATTTCAATTTAAATTCAGATTTTATGTTTATATAATTTTCATTATTGAAAAAAAGAAATTGATTTTCTGCGTTTGTCCTACTTGTTTACCATAGTGATTTCATTAAATTAATTAATGATGAGAATCAAAAGAACATTTGGCAAAAGAAAACGTTTAAATTTCATTTCATTTTTTTTTTTTGATTAAATTATTTGAAATCTTGTCCCCCTTAGATTTTCATTTAAATGTAATTTTTTTTTCGAATATTTTTCATTATTGATAATTTTCCAAGAATCGATTATGAAATTTAATCCAAACCAAAAACAGTAACCGGAATTCCTATTTGTTTAATGAAAATGGAAACTGTAAAATTTCAAAATGAATATTTTTTTTTTTTTGTTTGTAAAACACTCACTCTATATAATAGTTTTTTTTCGAGTATTTTCAAACAAGCAAAAAATCTGGTAAATTTTTGTTTTCACA